TTTAAGGAGCATACTCGGTACATGATTCTCATTCGAATTATGTAAAAAAAATAGGTACTTAATTTTTGACCAAATTTCCGTATAAATAAATAAAGTGTTGACACGTTCCAAGTGTTCCTAGTGTGGACGCGTGCGGCGGCGTGCTGATACAACAACACGCCGCCGCGCGCGTATGTGTGAGTGTGTAGTGTAGAGTAATCTGTAGGGTGTTCATACGATGCGTAATTAATTACACAACTTTTGGTTAACTTTACTTAGAAGTTTATTAATATTTATGTTATATTAATTTTTATTTCGTCATATATGATCGTCAAATATCACGTCCTCAAATATCGATAGTAATTCACCAGTCACCCTGTATAATAATGGATTGCTGTTCCTTAGTCCCGCTAAAACTCGAGAACAGCTGAACGGATTTATCTTATCTTAGTCTTGAAATGTTCGTGGAGGTTCAGGGAAGGTATAAAAGCTGAAAAAAATTGATTCATTACTGGGAAAACCATAAAAACAGCCCTTTTCTATTTCCCATACAAACGTTTTTTTTGACATTAGATTTGACAACTAACTAATATGTCAATCATTCTGTCGCATTTCAAAACACGGAGATTTATGGCTTACAGGTAAACTCCAAAAATATAAATTAAAAAAACGTAATAGATATTTATTGATTATAGGGCGATACGAAGTTCGCCAGGTCTTCTAGTTTGTAATAAAATATATAATAGTAAATATATACGATTCTTGATTTTGTTCATAGGTGTAGTTCACGATGCCGGCTGTCTGTCCGTCTTATCGCCACGATCTCCAAACACACATCACAATGACCACAAAAAGATATCCTTAAATTGTGACCATTAGTACGAGATTTGTTTTACAATAAACACAAACTGAACTTCCTTGATCTGATACGAATTGACGAGAGTAACACCATCTGATATAGAAAAAAATATAATAGAATTTCATACTCATAAGAACTATATATATATAATAGGCAGACCCTGGCTAAAGCTGAGAGGTTGCCAGGAAGAAGATAAAGAACTATATATATGTATAATACTGGTTAAATCTCGTTAGATATTTAAGCTTCATGTAATTAAGCTATACGTAATTAATTGTTCTGATTTGTTTCATTTAAATTATGCTTAATCCAAGTTTCTATCGTCACTAAATACTCTTCATCTCCCGTTTTTCATTCGATAATCTACGTTAATACTATAATGTGTGAAGTTTTATTAATAGGAAACTTAACGGTACGTATGTAGTGACGATGCTAACTCAGACTATTCATACCGATAACTCTCATGACATTTAGTCTTTTACGTTATTTTTAACTAAAAATTATTCGTCGTTATACTTCTACAGCCATAAGCTAAGTTTAAATTGAGTTTAAACACGAATTCGTTCGAAATCTATAGATTTTTTTAGTTAAAAAGTTAATATCTAAAGCATTTATAGTCTGGTATATAACATAACAGGTATTTTAAGTCATATGTATGTGTATGGAGGTAGACTAGGCCGTACTAAAATACCTATCCGCGGGGTCACCAATCAATTCATCTGGAGTATGCGCTGTTCGTCGCGGGGTCGTGGGGTCGTGACCCGTGACCCCATTGGGCGACCCCGGCACGCCCACCGCCCTGCTGAAGAAACAGCTACAACATACAACCTGACAAGGAAACGTCAATAGCATAAAAGCCTTGCTATTCGTTGAAGAACATCGGCTAGAAGCTAAAGCCTAGCTAAAATTATCCTCGAAAGACCGTCTAATATCTGGCTTGAAGACTATTTTAAGTGAAACAATAAAAAAGTAATTCTAAATTGAAGTTTCGATTTTAAGAACATCAACATCAAAACGGCAAAAAGATATTTAAAGCCTAGCTAAAATTATACTCGGAAGAACATCTCAATTCTCATATTTGAGTCAAAGACATTTTTAAGTGAAACAATAAAAAACTAACTCTAAATTGAAGTTTCGTTAAGTTAGAGTTAGCCATGAATGAAATTGGCTGAGCTTTAACAGCTGGTAGCTGTGTCTGTGGGGCCCTGATTGTTGGCAGCTTTGTGACAAAAGACGCAACATGCGTGTCCAACGGCCGACTCCTGACCCTATATCAGCACCTGTCTCCGCTTGTTAGACTCACATAGAATCAGGTTCTACAAACAGATTTATATCATACTTTTAAACATAACTTTAGTTTTAACAACTTCCTGATAGAACAACATGCAAAATATTTTTTAGATATACAAGCGAGTCAGTGGTGGCCTAGTGGTTAAAAGGCCCGCCTCTCATGCGAGCGTGGGTTCGATCCTGGCAAGTTCCAATGTGATTTTCCGAGTCATATGTACTTTCTAAGAGTATTTAGACATCATTTAAGGCAGACCCTGGCTAAAGCTGGGAACTTACCAGGTAGAATAAGAAGAGTAAAGTATAGTAATTATTATTTATAACCTTTACTACTTTATATAAAAAGATTAAACATACTTGTGGCGTCGTAATTACAAGCTGTCATTTCGTTTAAGTTAAACGACAATAATTAAAAACATTTTGTCATCTCCACACAAGGTTGCGTGCGACATGCGATAGATTTTAAATTTTTATATATTATAATGTATTCTATTGTAATATATGATGTATAGATCCACCTTCCAACTCAATTTACTAAGTCGCCTCTAGGACCGTTATAATACTACAAAAATATATTGTTAATAGTGGAATGTTATACACTTATTTTAATAAGAATTTAATGAAACTTTAATGAGTTCTAAGACATATTCATTTAAATGAAATAAATATTTTTCGGATTTTAGTCCGTGTTATTTTTGTATTTTAAACTACTTACATACTTCTGACGTTTCGATTACGTTTCAACAAACGTGATCATTAAGACTGTAATGAGACTTTGTTTATGAAATTAATTAATACATATATTTAATTTGAAAAGAACCTTTACATTCCCAAATACATCCAAAGTGATGACGTTTGGTTTGTTCACAATATTGAATATAATACGACATGAATTTGTCAACACGACTTGTGTTTTTATTAATTGAATTTAACTTATTAAAGGTGTTTTGGTTTACGATAATAATTAGTTAATTCTAGTTAAGGTTTGATATATAATAAAAGTACTGGCTATATATGAAAACTATATTTTTTTGATTTTGTTATATCCTAAACATATATAATGGAAGTAATTCTATATTTTTTTCTGTACGTGTGTATTCACCCGGCTTCTGTTGCGTGTACGTGTAACAGGTGCGCACGCGGGTCGTGATTTGTATTGCCGTGAGAACACAAGTGTTGCCAGCTACTAATTAATTACCCTGTACAGTGGTTAGTTAGTTTATATTACAACCCCGCGTTAAACTATGGGAATGTTCATTCATATATTTACTCCATATTAGTTACTTAAAACCAATGTTATTATGTTTCTTTTCATATATATATTATTCATTACATTTATCCAGCAATAATTAGCTTCTTTTGCATGAGCATAAGGCTTCTATTTCAAGCACAAAGCATGCTTTGAGTACGTGCTGTTTACTATTTATTGAGCATACTTTTTAGCATGCTTATTTAAGCATGTATATCAGTAGATTAAGAGTTGTTTTGTCATTGTATTACACCGGAAACTTTCAATAAGCAGTGTGATAGATATTAAAAGAAAAGTACGCGTGTTAATTATTTAAGTGAACATGTAGTAAGTAATTATGTTGTGATACTAACTCCCTAACGTGATAACTAACTCCTTTCCTCCTTATATCATATTACCTCTCATATTAATTCAAAACGTCATATTTATTATTGATATTTAGTTCCAAGATAAGAAATTATTTTTTTCAATAATAATACATTTATATTAAAAAAGGCAACATTATTTTTGTTGTTTTTTTTGTAGTTAATCGTTGAATATAGTAATATAATTATTTTTTAGGCAGACCCTGGCTATAGCTGGGAAATTGCCAGGTAGAAGAAGAAGATAGTAATATAATTATTTTTTATTATTTTTAAGTAAATGAAACAATGAAGTATTGAAAGACATTTTATTCGTCTATACGTTTTTTTTTTGTTCATACAGCATCTTCACACACTATAGTTACACCCTCTGTACATTTATTGCGAATTATTACATTGCTTTATAAGATTTGGCAGGATTTTGACGAACATTAAAGAGACATATACATCTTGTGACTACGCATTGTAAAAAAAATAAGAAAAAACTTCATAAATAATGAAAAATAATTCTTGGAAACTTCAAATGAAATTTAAATGAAAAACTTTTTCTCGGAATGCGTCGTTCACAAGAAAATATGTCTGGCCAAATAAATGTAATAAAATGAGACTCACTCCCAACAACTGGGTACAAACAAACACTTAAAATATATATAAAAAAAACTTCTACACACAAATTAACATTATTATTGCTTAAAAATCTTTTAAAAACACATAAATGCTGTCTCGGAATTAATAAAAGTTTGTACATGCGACAGGTGTTATAATTTATTGAAAAAAGCACCAAAATACAGTTTGCGGATACATGAGAAACAAATAAATAACTCTGCTGCCACCAACGAGGTTTTATATCATTGTAACGTCAACGTCAAAAAAATGACGTTTGAAATCTGAATCTGTCAAAATATTTTTAATCTATGCCCATTCCAGAATGTTATGTTTATCAAAAATTGCACATTTATTATACATATATATTGCTTTAATATATGATTTATATTATAATTTGTCTAAATAAATTAATGTAAAGAATATTAAAATCAATTCCAACAGGATGTCGTCCGTAGAGCATTCATCATTGAGTTTAGTAGAAAACATGCCTCTTGTACCTTACACTTACAATATACATTTACAATATAATAAAAACATTTTCTATTTACAATATTAAATATTCTCTATACTCTAAATATATTACAGAGGAACAAAATAACTGAACTAAGTCTCTAGTGAGGCCGGGCGCGGCACCAGGCGCCCAGGAGCCGCTAAGAGTTTATTTGTCTTGTGACTCGGAACACGTATCACTTCTGATGCTGAGGAGGTTCTCGATCATCATGGAAGTTTTTTGAGCGTTTTTTTGTGTTTCACAATTATTGCTTGATTCGTAGACTTCGTCTGTGCTCCTCGGCGGGTAGAACGCTGAGATGGGGTCGAAGTCCGGACAGGGTTCGGGCCTGAAGCCTTCCTCGGGGTCGTTGACCTCGCTGGATGACGTCACGGCGTCCTCGGCCTCTCGCCGGTACCTGAAGTCGAGCCTCTGTGCAGGCAGGTATGGCGGGAGGCCGTAGGGCGAGGATCATGCCGCCGCGAGCTGCCTCCACATCGTATGTCACATGGTCGCCATGTACGGCCACGAGAACGAACTGCCCGACAGCAGCATGTCCCTGATCAGAGTCTCGATGGGAGTCTTGCCCACCAGCCTCACGAAGAACAGCTGCTCGATAACCTGAGAGCTCACTGTCCGTAATGAAGGTAGCCTTAGGAGCAGCTTCCCGAAGCGAGTGGGTTGGTTGGGGTATTGACTTCTGCAGTATTCTTCGAGGGCGCATTGTGATTTCTCTTGAAGACTCTCTATGTGGGTCACGTCTGATAGTCCACAGGCATCTGTGAAAGAGGAAAATCTTTGGTCAATCGTTCACCCTCCATTGAGCGTCAGAGTAACTCTGCAACGCTACATCGAGTCGCAGGTAGATAACGTAACTGTTTTCACAACATTAACTACGCTCAGGTCGTCTGTTCGGTAATAAAGCGGGTTTATAATAATAAGACGGTGTTTCGTTGAGTTATAAAATATGCGTGAAGTATTGTAATTGCCGCTTGACGACCAATTAGCGGATGAGTGTCAAATAATTGGCCCAATAACACATTTCCTATGGGCTGTATAAAGTTTCTTAAAGTTTATGTTTAATAATATATATAATATAATGTATATTTTATATATTATGAATCTTCTTGTCGTAAACAGTCTCCCATATTTTATTGCGCGGAATACAAGTCGCAACGCAAGTTCGAACGTGACTTCAACCCGCTCCGTCACTTTAGTTTTTCTAATACATTTATTTCGCAACTGAATTTATAAGACAAAATATTAATCCTTCCGGTTCCGACCCCAGAAAAAATAGAAATACATAATAGACAGTGAATCGCAGGCCGTCTTAATGCGATTAGAACCCTACCCGGCTGTGGAGACATTAATAATTTTTATTGTTATGGAGAAATGACGGAGAAAACAAAACGGACATTACGAGGTGCGGCAGATGCGAGGGAACGGAGAAGATGAACAGACATACTCATTAGATGAAACAATGGAAATAGTTGGCTCAATAATAATAATAATATAACAAAACTGGAAAATAGATAGTACTCGTAGAGTTCGTACTAATAGCTACTTCTAGTAACACCTAATTTACATGTACAATACACCAATCTACGTGTGACCCATTTATTAATAAACATAATTGTAGATGTAATTCACTAGTTAGCGTTTATAAGACACATGGCGAGTAATAAAGCGTCCACTTAAAAAATATTGTAAGTCACTGAGACTGTAATTAAAAATTAACCCACTTGTGGCCAGGAGTCATAATGATGAGAGGTTGTTATTTGGTTATTAAGTAATATTACTTGTTTACTTGTATCGGTAATGACGTAAAACATTCTGTATATACGTCAAATAAAAACGTTTCCGAACTATAATAACTCAATTTAAAAACTGTCATGTCAATGTCTTTTTTTTTTAAATTCCATAAATATGATATTCAAAAGTCGATAGCCATACAGCCAATGTAGTATAGAGTATGTATATGTTGAGTAATTCAGATAATTATCAAGATACACCTAAATCGAAGCGACCTAGTTAAAAACTATCAATTCTAATTCTCGGTCCGGGCTCGCTGGTGACGTCACCAATTGCTGTCACTTGCACTAATTGTAAGGAGCAGCTGTTTCATAAAAGACATTCAAATAAATTGATCTCATCATGATAGGAATTCAGTATCGATAGCAATGGAATATTTACATTATAATCCTTGGTACTGAAAAATTATTTCAGACCAAATAAACCTAATAGCATAAACAAATGATTTGTATAAATTCTGTCGAATAAAAATTATGATTATTAAAGCCGATTAAAACTGGCTGTAATTCAGAAAATATTTAAAAAAAAAGAAGAATAATTAATCAAGATAAATGACGTCAAAAAACAAGTATAATTATAATTAGAGCTTTATAATTCCAGTATATATAACATTAATGGTAAGGTGTACAACAAATAGCGCTTCACTGATCCCTGGCCGAGGATCACGTCCTGATCGGCCAATAGTAATTAACCCTGCGCCTGCGCACTCCTAACAATGTAATATAGTTTAATTGATACGACCCCCGCCTCATTGAATACGCTCTTAATGAAACAAATTACTCCGGAGATTCGATTTCAATTTAACAATTCAAATAGATATATTTATATGAAAGATTATAAGTAATTCTCCAATATATATGTTTTTTAATGTTGTAAGTATGTAGTTAAATGCTTAAATACTATTGATGGCTGTGTCAACAGATTTGACCCAATAAATCAATGTCGTCAGTTAAGAGCGTCGCGCCGGCGCCTTCACGATTTGTTCTACATCAAAGTTTATAAAAATATCTTATTCATATCGTTTTATTAACAAAATTAATTGGATATCATCCAAGTATGTTGTGATTAACGTGAGGACATTATAAGATAGTATTTGGTTTATTCAATCCAATGTATTAAAGGGTTTAGTTCTGCTACCCGCATCTATTATATATATCTTAGCGTCATATTTATCTTTTATAAAAATAATATAATTGCTACTTATTAAACGCGGTATGCGGGTATTAATGTGTCTTTTCATATATTGATAGAAGGGTTTCATTTTATTATCATTTAAATTCAATATTAATAGGAGCGGCATTCAATATTAATAGATATTTTTTTTATTTGAGTCTCGTGTTTGTTATTTAATACATAATTATAAAGGGATTTTTGTCGTACAAACTGACAAAGCATAATGTTGTCACAACTTAATTTTTTTATTTTCTTTTTAAAATTTTAGACAAAGATTATACTTAGGAAAGAAAAAACATTTAAAGTTTTTACGTAAATATGATAGCATTTTTTATATTGAATAGACTAAAATTAATATCCTTAACTTCAAACTGACGATAATTTCAATGTCTATTAATACAGAAAACCGAAAAAAAAAATTAAGAAATATTTTATTCTGTGTAAAAAATGAACTTATGTCATTTAAATATCAAATAAAGAGTGTACAGATTATAAATCACAGATCCAATATTATAGACAACAGATAACAAACAACTAACATCACATAAATAGGTTTTACAATAGACAGTATTGTGGGCGTACTCAGCAGATGTTTGTACAGGAATTAGGCGACAATAGACTCCGGACATAATGGATCTTACACCGAATCTTATTATAACTGAAGGTAGAGTAAAGAAAAATTATATACATCATGTTCATTTAAAGATTTGGTAGGAATTTAGTATTTTGGAATGAACTTTAGAAGTTATGAAGTTCATTCCTAAATTTAAATAGGAATGAAGTTTGAACAAGGAATGAATATATCGATAAGCTTGTAAACGTCTTGTATTCAACAATAGCGGCTCACAATCGTGAAATCTGTTAAGATCGGAAATGTTGAAACAAATTTAGCAGCCACAATAGCTCCCCAATGTTTGTCACAGATCGTTATCACTACACCCTTGCTTATCCAGATCTGAGGTGTTTATTTACGTTAATAATACCACGCAATGCTTACAGCCTCTTATTTAAACTGTTTATACACTCTACAAATTATATTTCACACTCAGAACACACGATACTGCATTAAAACTACTTATATTGATACAAATTCGAAATTCAATAGACCCAAATTGGATGCCATAAACACGTGTTGGAGTTATCAAAAAAAAAAAAAAAATTCGACGTAATATTTCTATGGAATAAAGTTGAATGTTTCGTCTATGGCTACACAAACGCGTCATCTAATGGTTCGAAACAGCATTAAATGGCGCGAAAAGAGAAAAAAGATGGCATTACTGGCATTCGTATTGTGTCACGAATTATTAATATAAATACCTTTAGAGTGGGCGGGCGATAGAATATTTGTAAATAGCTTTTGTTGTATTATGTTGTTTTTTTGCGCTCCGACTGCGGGTCTTTTGGATTGACACGTGCTATTGAAAACTTATCTTTTGAAACATTATTGTATTACGTAAATTTTAAATTACGTAATAATATTAGTATTCTGAGGTATGAAACATATTTTAGTATTTTAGGTCTGCAAAGTTAAATTTTTAGGAGTCTAAGCCACTTGTGATAGTACTGTTTAGAAGGAGAGTGCAAATCAAAAGCGCACACAATGGTGAATGGGTATCTGTCGATCGATGACATAAACAACGCGGCGGGGGCTCAAGTATAGTTTACTACTAGTACGTAACAATAATTATATCTACATTTCATATATTCCACAAAATTCCCGTCTTAAGTATTGTCAATGAAGACATGGCCGAGTCTAACGAGTATTTTAAATGTAAACTGTAACACAAGAAGGCCAGCAGACACTTCATTCAAAAGAACAAAGCGATTCATGAACAAAGTCGTCAACTGGGTCAGAGTGTCGGGGCACAAGAGCGATGTCAGCGATGTCAGCGATGTCAGCGGTGTCAGCGGTGTCAGTAGATGTCAGCAGTGTCACTGATAAAGTCGAGGTTCAGGTCGGACAAAGGCGTCAACTTCGCGCGGAGAACTATCGTGTGTGGACATATGTGAATTCGCAATTGTTTCTTAGCTATACAGCTTCATACGTATCTTAATGTACGACTATCAAGTTGAACCGTTTATCTACAAATTATATTAATGGTACAGAAAAACTTATGGACATCTTAAAGCTTATCGCCTAACATATTTCTGAACGTTATAATCTAACTTTATATATCAACAGGTATTTAAAGGCGGATAATCGGAAATTTCACACGATGAGAACGAAATTCCGCAGCTCGTTTACTATCGAAGTGGCATAAAGTAACCTATCTATGGATATCCTTTACACTCGCACAGGTAGTGTTAGAATTATTATGTTTATATCTTATTACGATGGTGATAAGGGTCATATTGTGTGGTGAGGCTTGATAGTGCTAATGACGTCGTAAAGTGTTTAGAAAGAAAAGTGATACCGCACTCGCTATGCGGAAGAATTAGCGCTACGAGCATCGGTTTAGTGGAGATAAAAGTTAAGGGCTTAAATCATCCGCCACCACTCGGATGGGTGATCAATTACTTGATATATGTTATTAACCTTTAAAACAATAAATCCATCAAGTTAAGTATCCGTTTTATGTAACAGTGTAGGTACATATATCGTTGGTAACTTTTTTGTTTTCGTTTCAAATGAATATACATATCCGTGGCCCTTCCTAAATAGCTGTTAATTATTCCTCTCCGGCCAGATGGGCAGGTTTAATCTGAATAACAAAGAGATGACCGCGCCACCAACACATTGACACGACTCCCTCTGACCGTCCTATAGCATTTATTACTATGTAAATAGAGTTCAAATTTGAATATCAAATTGATATCATATACCGAGCTAACAGATTTCATAACAGAGTATGAAGCATGAGTTTTGTTCATGATGTAGTCTACTTCATACTATATATGAACGTCTAATACGTCGTCTTGGAACTATTGTTTGTAGTGTATTTAAAACGTGTCCGTAGTTTTAATCACACTACCGCCGGCGGGTGTCGTGTGATGTATGAGTGCAGGATCACTACCAACGTGTATGATGCCTGCACTTTGACATTTCGCGATTTAATCACGTACGAGTGATCTGTAGAGGTTCGAGGGCCGCTCACAGCACCATTGACACCGATGATACCTCTCCACTCACTCCGTATCAGCGGATTGATGCTCGATGGTTCTACAAAAAAGTCACGTGCTTCAAGCTATAGATGACAATATGGGACGGAAATTTGTTCTTTTCATGTTAAAATCTATAAGGATAGTATTTTTTGTGTAGTTTATCTACAGTATATGAACCGGCGTCGTAGTTATGAAGCCGTCAAGCTGGAAGGCAACTCTCATTTGTAGTGGACATGACAAACTTAGTTTTTAGGTGAACAGCTACACGGAACAGGCGGGCGGAGTTTGTAACTAATGCTCCAGGGCTGTCAATCAACGTGACTATTATCGACTAACATTCTCTCATACTTCATACTGCAACTTTGTTTATTACAAACTTACTATTAACACGCTCATAACTATTATAAAACATATAACATATAAAAATTTGATTAATTATTAACGATTTTAATTCTGTGAACGTATTAAATCAGGGCCAATATACTTTACTATAACTTTTAAACATCGTTTTATTTTAGGCTTCAATATCTTATTTTCGACATCACCAGCCCTGGTCTTTGGTTGGAATAAAGCCTACATAGAACGAGTGGAGTGAAAAAATTCCGTCCAGTTCAAAAAGGCAACACGATGGCAAAAAGTCCGTCCATTGTCGTAGTGATGTATGCGGCCAACAGAATATAAAGGGTTTTGTTTTCTTTTAGAGATCACCTAGCTCTGTGTCGACGCTGTTGTATTGACATACCTATTAATATATACATGGCATTTTATATAAACCGCTGAAGGTTTTATTCACGATTTTCATACGGGACGCTCCGATAGTTTTGATATACAGTGTGGAGTTAATAAATAGATGCTCTAAATAAGTTGAATACGAAAAAATGGTGTAAAGTTGTTAATAAAAAATCTCATGGATTTAAAGAGAGCATATCACCAGATAGCGGTGTTGAACATTAATCCTCTTTGTTAGTGATGGTCTCATTGATAATAATCGATGTATCAAAGGGACCACAATGGAAGCGAGGTCCAAAAACAGAATCTTTTGTTGGCGCGTGGCGAAACACGACACCGGTTTAATTATACAGCCCTCATCTCATCCGTTCAGATAGCGTTTTATACATTTTATGCCTTTTGATATGGTTTCGAACACGGATTTTTATTGTACATATTAATCGATGTTTAATATTTCGATGTCTCATATTACTATAACAAATTAAATAATAAAAATTCATTAAGGTAATACGAGATTTTTATTATCAAATTGGGTATTAATAAAAATGCCAACAGTAAGTGACTTATCGACGCGCGAACCGTGGATAAAAAAAGAAAATGGCGTCACCCTCAACGCGTTACGTCAGCAGTTTTCGATGAGCTTAAACGTTGAAACCTAATTTGACGGGCCGATTAACACGGGAGAGGATCCATTGATTTTTACTCTCTTATTGTTCTGTTTGTAATATCACTTTGACATTAATTTTATGACAGTGACGCCATCTTGTTTGTCATTCGTAACCTGAGTCATATTAGATCAGGTGACGGCAATAAATTAAGAATCCCTACTTAATATTATAAATGCGAAAATAACTCTGTCTGCCTGTTACACTTTCACGCCTAAACCACTGAAATGATTTTAATGAAATTTGGTACAGACATAGAGTTGACCTTGAGAAAGAACATAGGATAGTTTTAATCCCAGACTTTTGAAAGGTTCTCTTGGAAACGCCATATAAACAAACTCCACGCGGGCGAAGCTGCGGGCGGAAAGCTAGTTAAAAATAATGATGTTGAATTATAGTGTATTAAGTTTATTGTGCATATATCGCGGTAGTATTCCCACAGCAAGTTGAATCCTAGTGAAATCCAAGTGTAAGTCGTGCCCAGCGGCCATTGTGCTCAATTCGGTTCAAGTTAATTGTTTTTAATTCAGTTCTGTATTGTAGCTCTTTAATTACGCCCACGGTCGCTAATGGCCTGCGATGTCTGAGGATCACGAGTGTCCTTTGTTGAGTACAGTCGCATCTTACCTCCTAACAACTATACAACTATTGTTTTCTTACTTTACCTATAATTCAGACCAATGATTGTCAATATGGACTTATTATTAGATCAAATTCATTTTGCAGTAACGTTATTGGTGATAAATATAATACATTTTTATTATAACATATTAGTTTATAAATCGTGTGCACACGATTGTACTCAGCGCACTCAGAGTAAGGTAGAACCTCATTTGCTTAATCCAGCCGGTAGAGATCCACAATTAAAGCACAAAAGAAGAACTTTGAGAGCAAACGGGAAATCACGACACTGAAGTTAACGATCCGAACAACTTTTTAATGAGCTTTTTAACGAAACCCCTTAAACAAAACGATGTGTGCTCCACAAAAATTACTCCCAACAATGAGAGTCGATGGTACAGTTCACGAGAGCGTTTAATACAAATGTTTTATGAAGGAATTGTAAAAAACGGTGTGATATATATAGAGGAGCCAGTGGTTAGTAACCCTAATCTACAATTGGATAAACAAACCGCTGATAACAGTAACCCTAATCTACAAAGTGCGGGGTCCGACCCCGGGCAATCTCTTAACTCGCTACCGATTTTATAATTGATTTTAATTCTTATGACGATTCTGAACATATATTTTTTATTATTATTATTTTCTATTAATGATATTGTTTTTCTCAATATAATTAAAAAATTAAAGTTTTTTTTTAAACCAATATAATATGTTTTTTTTTGTTTTTTATATATGTGTATATATACATATATGTATGTATTTGTGTATCCAAGTTAAGTATGAACAAAAGTAAGAAGCTTTATTTCGTAATCCTTTTTCATTTGACTATATTTTCTATAAAGGAACTTAAAAAAGATTCATACTACTGAATCAAAAACAATTTTCTATCATTTTAAAGTTATTGCTATATGTACAATAATAATAATATCTTCATATATACACCAAAAAGCCAGTCTGTCGTGTAAGTAACATCGCTCAATAATCGTCACCACATCTCCATATAGTTGTCGCTCTGTTTTTTGTCCCCCTGACTCTAAGATAATCATATCTGCAAACTTCACTGAACTCAACGATTGTCGACTTTCGAGTTTCTACTTTCGAGTTTCGAGTTGACACCCCACATGACCGCATTCGATTCCTTTATTTAGTTAAAAACTATTGTTAACACCCTATCCATTTAAGTGCAAAATATATATAATTTCCACATTATTATCGTACGGAATGCTTTATTTAGTTGAATTTTTAAAATAATACAGTAATGTATAGCCACAACACTACCGCTAGCCGATGATTTGTAACATTACACTGACACGCGACAGATGAAACATTTATTATATGTTTTAATGATATTATTGTAATGTAGTCATTTGTATGAATCAATGTAATTATTTGCTCTTTGTTATATTTCTTTTGATGGTTTTGTTATTATTATTTTTTTTATATATTATTGTTAGATATTGTTTGAAACATTGTTTTTGTGTTGTTTATAATCTAATCATGTTTTCTTAATATACCTACATAAATTAATTCAATATTTTTTATTTTTTGTATTGACAGTAGCATTTGCTAATCACACTGCGTGCGATATATATGATATGTAAGGTTTAAATATATAAATATATATAATTATCTGATCGATTTTCAGTTGATTCTAAGTTATAATTTTAAAAGCTCCTGTCAATTAATTTGATGAAAATACTAAGCATCGAAAGGAAAGAGACGTTAGTATGTAACTATCCTATTATTATTTTTATATAATACAAACATATCTTAATGTTTCCAGTACATTATATATTACGTATTTTTATTA